AGCCACTCCTCAGAAAGAAGACTGGGCAATCTACTTCCGTAGAGATACTGCCTTTGAAACCCAAGGAGGGGTTGCTGTGAGTCGGATTTGACTCGACAGCAGTGAGTTTGGTTTGGTTTGGTCTGGGTACTTGGTTGTGACCAAGAAGTGACTACAACCTTGTCCCTTTTCAGCTCTACTATATACCTGCGAATTCTTACAGAACATACCAGTACACTTGTAGAAACATTGTCTGCCAACCCTATACATGGTCATGAGCACACTCCCCTCTGCATATACATACCTAATTGTTCAGCCAGTCAACCCATCTATCCACCTGTATATCAATGTTTGCCATCACTGATAGTGCAGTACTGTATGTACAAAAGGGTTCATCTTTGTTGTCTGTACCTCCTGTGTACCTTTCTATGTGTTTCTCTTCCTCACTGCCACTGGGTTGATCACTCACATTTGGTACATTGCCCTCCCCAAATCAATACTTGTCCCTACCTATCTAGCAGTGTTCCCTCCTTTCCCCTCCCACCCCCAGTAACCAAGAAAGAAAATTTCCTTCCATATATAAACCTTTCCTTGACCTTTTACAATAATGGACTAATACATATTTGTTCTTCTGTGATTGAGTTATTTCACTCAGTGTACCTTCCTTCAAGTTCATCCACAGTATGCAGTGTTTTGTAGATTCTACGGTATTCCTTAGGGTTGCATAGTATTCCATTGTGTGTATGCACCATAGTTTGGTTATCCATTCTTCTGTTGATGAGCATCTAGGTTGTTTCCATCTTTTGGCTGTTGCAAATAGTTCTGTGATGCACATGGGTGTGCATATACCTGTTCTTGTCCTGGCTCTCACTTCTTTAGGATATATACCTAGGAATGGAATTGCTGAGTCAAAGAGGGGTTGCTATGAGTCAGAAATGACTTGACAACAGTGGGTTATTTTTTATTTTTAAATGACTAGTGATCATGAACATTTCTTTGTGTATTTGTTGGCCGCCTGAATATCCTCTTTGGTGAAGTGTCTATTC